GGTATGGTGCCACGGTACTTGTGCCTGAGGCTCCAGCTGGTAGGCGTAGCCTGGGTACAGACACAGTTGGAACGGAGCACAAAAAGAGTGGCCAAACTGGTAGTCCTTGCGGACGGTACCCATCGCCTCCATCCGGAGGCTGGTACGGAGCGATATTTTTGCGCTTCGTGGTACACTTCCTAGCAGTTTCATGATCAGACTCCTGTTCAGATGGAGACTCGGTATCAGCCCGCCCTGAGTATCGAGGGCTTGAATGGGCAACGGCCCGGCTGGCGTCTGGCTCAGCCTCAAATCGGCCCTAGTTTGGTACGGAGCGATATTTTTGCGCTTCGTGGTACACTTCCTAGCAGTTTCATGATCAGACTCCTGTTCAGATGGAGACTCGGTATCAGCCCGCCCTGAGTATCGAGGGCTTGAATGGGCAACGGCCTGGCTGGCGTCTGGCTCAGCCTCAAATCGGCCCTAGTTTGGTAATATGCACATATGTTCCTGAGCCGTCTGGGCTAAAGGAACGTGCTCCTCTGTATCAGAGAGTCCAATTGCTTCCCTCAAAGACTCCTCGAGCAATATTGAAGGAGTGGGAGGAGGTACAACAGGCAACTTAGCCGGTTTCTTCGCTCTCTTAGGCTTATCGGTAGCCTTCTTTTTTGCAGGGCGCGAAGGCGGTTTGGCTTTTGGCGGTTTGGAAGTGTCCTTAGCCTTAACCAGCACAGAGACAGTAAGCAGTTGTTGGTCTGCCGAAGAGTCCTGTTTAGAAGCCTCAGCATGCGGAGGGGACAGTGCTATGAGGAAGGCGCTTTCCATGTTTGGAGACAGAGTCTTTTCGTAAAGGAAAGCTCGAAGTCTTTGGTGCCTCAGCTTAACTGCTTGCTTTGAAAAACCTTTGCAAGCAGAGCAAGACTGATCTTGATGCGATTCTCCAAGACAAAACAGGCATTTATCGTGTCCGTCTGATAAAGAGTTTTTTTGGAGCAGACAACACACTGCTTTAAGCCCCGAGGGTCCATAAACAAAAAAGAAAAAGGGGGATCGTTGATCGAGGGGGTGGGAAACGCGACAGAACAAAAGAAGTAAGTCAGAATCAGCAAGTTCTGTCGCATAACCGTTAAAGTAAGATAAAGGAAATAATAAAACAAGAGAAAAAGGTAACTAGCTACCTTAACAGTCGATAGTACTTAACGGTAGATAGCTCTGCTCTTCCTACGTCCTACAGTAATGGCGGAAAAAGAGGAATTGAAAGGAAGACGGAGGAGGCGGGGCTTATATACCCCGCGGGGGGGAGCTAATTGACTCTTTTTTTCTTAAGCTCTAGAATCTTCCGGACGTTCCAGCGCAGGCAAAGGATAAACCATTTGTGTGCATTCACAGAGACCACTACGAAGAAGCAGAGTTACTTAAGAAAGCAACACATTGCTAAATAAATCACATATCTTTGTGTCCCTCTGAGAAGTCAGGGTGAACCCATGCAGATTCATGTAATCTGCACCAGCCTGAACAAGTCACAACATTTTGCTGCACTTGACAAAGTATTTCAGGAAGCATACACTGTTTCTTTTGGGGAGAACATTTTTAATGCATCATCTACCCGGATATGGACAAAATTTATGCTTTGCATCAAGGGTGCAGTTTACCACTGCATCAAATATTACATTAGCTATCAAAAAGAAAAGACATTAAAATAAAACAATGGCTGGTATAATTTAACTCCAGCTTAATATTTAGAGAATGTATGTCTAATTCTGAATTTCTTTTTTTGACTTTGGGAATAAATTAACATAGAGATATAGCGACAAGTTAAAATTCTTCATCATGTATTACATGGCACACTAGCTGAAACTTTTTATCTACCTTTTCATATACATAATGCCTTAAATTTGAAAGAATCAAGAGTCTTCTTAAATGTAATCTCCTAATTATGCCACTAGGTTTTGCCAATGAATAATACTGCTATTCTATGACTTTGTGCTGTCTGGGAGTGAGGAGAGACAGACATTAGAAGAAGATACCCATTTTTTTTTCAAAATATAGTTCATTATGAGGCTGTTGCAATCTTTATTTTAATACTGTGGGGACAATCTCTAGATTTGCATTGTTTTATATGATTAAGCTGCCCTGGCTGGGCGCTCTTTATCCTCCGATATCTCCACAGTGGAAAGGTTATTGATAAGTAATGCATAACCATGTCCCTCCTTTCTAAATGATCAGCCTTCACAGAAATACAATCAGAATTAAAATGAAGAAATAAAAAATGTGACTGTATAAAAGAAAAAAGGATTTATTCTGGCACAGGCTGGGTATACCAATGAAAAGTCAAAGAAGTCCTGTATCACAATTGCTTTATTTATCAGTATCAAATTACATAGTAAAGTAATGAATGACATCATCAGAATGTCACTCTTGAATACTGTAGTACAAATAAAGAAAATGTTTTATTTATTTGAAGTACATTATCTTCTTAAAACTGTGCGTTGAAATAAAAGATTTTATTTTGGCAAATCTTGATGAGACAGCCTGCATGAATATTTCTGTACTTCATTTTCACACCAATGTTTCTATATATGTAGATATATATGTATATATGTGCGTTTGTATAATACTTATATGCATACATATACATAAATACATACATACACACACGTACACATACACTTTTGAGATGTAACCTTAAATTCACAACTTGAGAGAATCATCATATGGGCTTTGTTTACATCATAAAATTAACCTGATCCTGCCTGAAAGGCCCCAAGTATTAATCCAATATACAATTAGAAATAGGGTCCCACCCTCAATTAGGAGCACACTTCAAAATAACCTAAAGCAGCTTTCCCAAAGATGGAGCACATCCAATCTGTTGGGACTAAAGCTTCTGTTATCTCCAACAGCTCAATTATCATGTAGACTGGGGATGATGGGGGTTGGAGTCTGGGACATCTGTGAATGTAGCATGCATGGGAGCAAAGACAGTATATTTTTCCTATATATACCAGTGCAGTATAATTAATTCAGTCTATCAACAACTGAACTTGTTGATGATTTCTTACTTGACTGAGGTGAGCAACATCAGCCAGTTCTGCATATATCAGAGGAATACACTAGAAGTGTTACACTATAGCTAAACATTTGTGGGTGTTTTCATATAGTGCTGCTCCTAGAAACGGTAGTAAAGATAGAGAGTGCCAAGCAGAATCAGGCCCGGCAGCCTCTAATTCAAGACATGCAAGACACTGTTGGCTGGAAACAGGAAAAGGGCATCACAAGAGAAATGTGTGATAGGTACAAGTGAACAGAAGTACAGAAGTCTCAGTGCAGGGCAACTGGGGGAGAGTGACAGGAAGGAAAGGGTGGGCAGTGTCTCCTCGTGATTCCTTGGCTCACCCAGCATCAGTGGAAGTCAGGTTTCTCTGGGAAGGTGCAGCCAGAACGCTTTATGATCACACTAGCAGCATAGTGCCCAGCACGGATGCACTCTGTCAGTGGCCGGTCATAGACGAGCTGAGACAGGAAACCTGAAGGACAAGAGGGAAATAGAGCACTTGGTTGAGAGAGATGCCTGTCTAGCAAAATGGGAATTCATAAGAAAAATGTGGCATGCTGCTCCAAGTACACTGATGGATAAAGTATCAAATTAATATTAGAATCTGTTTCAAGCAAATTATGTACCCAAATCAGAGCTCTACTGAACCAGAACATCCATTTACTTCTCAGCATCTCAAATGTAAATATAAGCTTTTTATCTACGACAAAACAACTTCTTCAGCGCTACCTTACCAACTACAATGTAGTATACACCTTAACACTATAGATTTCATATGGCTTTTTAAAAAAATTCAAAGCCAGTTAAAAACCACCCCTGGTCAAACCAATATACATTATTGTGATTTGACACTTTTAAACAAAAAGATTTGAAAGTATTGGAGTTCAATGCAAAAATCAAGCAAGAAAACAATGGGAAATCAGGGAACAACTCTTGCTATTCAGCATAGGCTCCGATTTAATGAAGTGGAATGGGCGAAGTGTAAAAGTGCTTTGATTTATCTCCCAAGGCAGTTGCTTCTAAGACAATTGACATTCACATCAAATTGTGTTTTGATGTTGACAGCATTTATGTATTTCAATAGCTTCTGAAAGTCAGGTTACTTATTTAATAGTCCTAGAGAGGATTTTAGGATCTTCAGCAGGCAATGTATAAAAGGCCTATGGAGAAGGAAAACCAATGGGATCAACTTGAATTGTTCTCTTCTGGAAACCTTCATTCCTGCTTTGGCACTCAAGGCCTAGGCTGGCATTTATTACGTCTGGGACACATTGTTCATTAAATGTATACTTTGCTGTATCCCATAAGTCTATTACAGCTTGCAGTTTTTCCCAGGTGAAAACATGCACTATGTGATTTGCATCTGATATGTGTGTG